TCAAACATGTCACCCATTGAGCAAGTTTGGGACGCTCTGGATCGACGTGTACGACAGCGTGTTCCAGTTCCGGACAATATCCAGCAACTTCGCACAGCCATTGAAGAGGAGTGGGACAAAATTCCACAGGCCACAATCAACAGCCTGATCAACTCTATGCAAAGGAGATGTGTCGCGCTGCATGTGGCAAATAGTTGTCACACAGATCCTGACTGGTTTTCTGATCCACACCCCTACTAATCTGTGACCAACAGATGCATATCTATACTCCCAGTCATGTGAAATCCCATAAATTAGGGCCTAATGAATTTATTTAAATTGACTGATTTCCTTATCTGAACTGTAACTCACTAAAATCTTTGAAATTGTTGCATGTTGCGTTTATATTTTTGTTCAGTGTAGTTCAGATATGTGGAGGAGTCTGAATATCAGAGTGAGTTAAAAACAAGACAGTTGAAATGGGACAGATAAGAATGTCAGTCATAGTGATACAGGTGTAGTGGAGCCTCTCACCTTTGACTAGCATTCCCTGGTGAGAGATGAGACTTCTCTCAACCCAGCTTCAGGATTTGGCGCTTGTTGAGCCATCCTGGGGAAACTCCTGGTTACAGGGTCAGGGTCACAGTTCAGTCTGGTGTGAAGTGGGCTGCTTCACCAACACAAAACTATTAATGCAGAAAGTATTGTTTGTCAATTAACACTTACACTACCGTTCAAAAGTTTGGGGTCACTTTGAAATGTCTTTGTTTTCGAAAGAAAATCTATTTTTCTGTCCATTAAAATAACATCAAATTGATCAGAAATACAGTGTAGACATTGTTAATGTTGTAAATGGCTATTGTAGCTGGAAATGGCCGATTTTTTATGGAATATCTACATAGGCGTACAGAGGCCCATTATCAGCAACCATCAGTCCTGTGTTCCAATGGCACATTGTGTATGCTAATCCAAGTTTATCATTTTAAAAGGCTAATTGATCATTAGAAAACCCTTTTGCAATTATGTTAGCACAGCTGAAAACGGTTGTGCTGATTAAAGAAACAATAAAACTGGCCTTCTTGAGACTAGTTGAGTATCTGGAGCATCAGCAATTGTGGGTTCGATTACAGGCTCAAAATGGCCAGAAACAAATAACTTTCTTCTGAAACTCGTCAGTCTATTCTTGTTCTGAGAAATGAAGGCTATTCCATGCGAGAAATTGCCAAGAAACTGAAGATCTTGTACAACGCTGTGTACTACTCCCTTCACAGAACAGCGCAAACTGGCTCTAACCAGAATAGAAAGAGGAGTGGGAGGCCCCGGTGCACAACTGAGCAAGAGGACAAATACATTAGAGTGTCTAGTTTGAGAAACAGATGCCTCACAGGTCCTCAACTGGCAGCTTCATTAAATAGTACCCACAAAACACCAGTCTCAACGTCAACAGTGAAGAGGCGACTCCGGAAGTTGACCTTCTAGGCAGAGTTGCAAAGAAAAAGCCATAATAACACTGGCCAATAAAAAGAAAAGATTAAGATGGGAAAAAGAACACAGACACTGGACAGAGGAAGATTGGAAAAAAAATGTTATGGACAGACGAATCGAAGTTTGAAAAGTTCGGATCACAAAGAAGAACATTTGTGAGACGCAGACCAAATGAAAAGATGCTGGAGGAGTGCTTGATGCCATCTGTCAAGCATGGTGGAGGCAATGTGATGGTCTGGGGGTTCTTTGGTGGTGGTAAAGTGGGAGATTTGTACAGGGTAAAAGGGATCTTGAAGAAGGAAGGCTATCACTCCATTTTGCAACGCCATGCCATACCCTGTGGACGGCGCTTGATTGGAGCCAATTTCCTCCTACAACAGGACGATGACCTAAAGCACAGCTCCAAACTATGTAAGAACTATTTAGGGAAGAAGCAGTCAGCTGGTTTTTTGTCTATAATGGAGTGGCCAGCACAGTCACCGGATCTCAACCCTATTGAGCTGTTGTGGGAGCAGTTTGACCGTATGGTACGTAAGAAGTGCCCATCAAGCCAATCCAACTTGTGGGGGGTGCTTCAGGAAGCAGGGGTGAAATCTCTTCAGATTACCTCAACAAATTGACAACTACAATGCCAAAGGTCTGCAAGGCTGTAATTGTTGCAAATGGAGGATTCTTGGACGAAAGCAAAGTTTGAAGGACACAATTATTATTTCAATTAAAAATCATTATTTCTAACCTTGTCAATTACTACATTTCCTATGCATTTTGCTATATTTCCTATTCACTCATTTCATGTATGTTTTCATGGAAAACTAGGACATTTCTAAGTGACCCCAAACTTTTGAACGGTAGTGTACCTATTAATGCAGAAAGTATTGCTTGTCAATCAAATGCACACCATTAATGCTTAAAATGTTTTTGTGATTCATTTGATTATACACTGAGTATACCAAACATTAGGAACACCTTCCTAATATTGAGTTGCCTCACCCTTTTGCACTCAGAACAGCCTCTATTCGTCATTTTTGATACACACAGGAAACTGTTGAGCGTGAAAAACCCAGCAGCGTTGCAGATCTTGACACAAAATGGTGTGCCTGGCACCTACTACCATACCCCGTTCAAAAGGCACTTAAATTATTTGTCTTGCTCATTCACCTAAATGGCACTCATACACAATTCATGTCTCAATTGTCTCAAGGCTTAAAAATCCTTCTTTAACCTTCCTCCTCCCCTTCATCTACACTGATTGGAGTGCATTTAACAACTGACATCAATAAGGGATCATAGCTTTCACCTGGATTCACCTGGTCAGTCTGTCATGGAAAGAGAAGGTGTTCTTAATGTTTCGTATACTGTGTATGCGTGATTGTACTCACAGAATCACCACAAAGATACACTTTTAAAATATCTGAATTTGAAACCCTACAACTAATCATTAGTGATTATTATCATTGACCAGCATACTCTCAATAATCAAAGAAATAGAAAGATTTATCCTCAATAACAAAGTAACATTTTCCCATAGAACTTAGTCAATTAATTGATAAATTAATAAACAAGTCATAACTGTAGTAACACCATTTAATAAGATATAAACTAGTCAATAAAAGAACGATGTGTAACATAGATATTGAGAAGACCAAGATTATAATTTAATACAAATAGTTGTATACCATCTACTTATAATTAACTAATTTGTTTCTCAAGATTCATTAAGATCAGTGTTCAATACTCAATTGTAAAATATCAAAATATCAATTTGATTTTTACTGGCTGTTTATGTTAAACAAAATAACAAATTGTTCATACTGTACCTCAAGTCTTTGGGTGAAGAGTTGTGTCTCCATCTCCGAGGCAGTGGATCTAAGAAGTTGTCTGAAGCCTAGGTTTGAAACCTATATTTGTACCCCTCTAATGGTTGTGTTTTCTACTTGTCTACTTTCTGTTTATCAGGTTAACAGGTTTTATTAGGTTATTTATTTCCTCCAATCTAAATCACCTGCATCCCTCATGTACACCACATGGCATTTCCCCCTTAATTTCACTGATTAATGGAAATCATGCAACGTTATGTTCTTCTTATGAATCACATGCCCTTAGCAGGGGTGACCAAAGTGCGAACAAAGTGTCTTGGTATAGAACTGGATTTCAGCCCGATCATTTCCCTACACAACTGAACTTGACAGTGGCTTGTCAAGACACATTTTGAGGTGGCCAATAATGATACAAATAATAATAATAATAATAATAATAATAATATGATATGCCATTTAGCAGACACTTTTATCCAAAGCGACTTACAGTCATGTGTGCATACTGTAAGTACGCACAATCAATTTGAAAATGAACTTTAATGAATTTGAAAACAAACATGTATCATTAAAAATATGCAATACTGCATCTCCTCTGATTTCCCTTTGCAAGCACTTCCACCTGTCGGACAGTGTAATGCACATTTAGTGAAGCCCATTGCGTTCACCTATGCATTAATTAGCCAAGGGATGAGCAACTTTGATGGGGTTGTGGCCACAAAAAATCTGAACTCATCATGAGGGGCCACAGTGGCTCGCGGGTCTGCTTACCCACACACGCAGTCAGAGCCGACCTTAGCCTTTTGAGGGCTCCAAGTGAAATGTTATTGTTTTACTTTTTCTTAAGTGACATTTTGTTTTCTCCACTCTTATAAATATATAAAATAAATAAATATGCCATTTAGCAGACGCTTTTATCCAAAGCGACTTACAGTCATGCGTGCATACATTTTTTTTGTGTATGCACTCTTGATAGCGGAGAGAAAACTTTGAAGTTTTAGAGTAATTTCCTGCAATTCTACACATTTTGCCATGGGGCGTAGAGAAAATGTTGCAGTTTTAAAGCAAGTTTGTTGCAATTCTACACATTTTGCCATGGGCAGAGAGAATATTTAGCAGTTTTAGAGCTCATTTCCTGCAATTCTTCACATTTTGCCATAGGGTGGAGAGAAATGTTTGCAGTTTTTAATATGATATCTGAGTGAGAGTGACTAACAAAATCAATGGGGGCCCCCCGGTTGGTAATTCAACCATGATTACTACAAGTTTAGATATGTAGCTGTCTAGACTAACTTACCAATCTAAAAAAATGTTAGCTGACGGGCTAATTGAGTGACTGTCATTGACTGACATAACAAGAGAGAAACTGCTGATGCACAACCACATTTCTAAATTGCACCTTTTGTATTGTACTACTCTAACTCTCAACAGTAAATTGAGACTCCGACTGAGTTCCAAAATTTAAAATAATTTAAAATATATATATTTATGTGTGGGGGGGAGAGAGCTTGATCCGCTGCCCTAAAAAAGTGGGTCCGCAATGCATTTCTCTCATTTTTTACATAGCATTGTAATTGCTAAGTGCCTTTACATGCACTCAATGCATGTACATATTAATCTAGAGTGTCTTTATTTGTCACAAAAAGGGATGGCTCCCTGTTAGAGGTGAGAAGTGAGAGGCTAATGGTGATAGGTGAGGTAAGAGGTTAGAGGTCACTGACCAGCTGTGCGAAGGTCACAGGCAAGCGCCAGCTCCAGACCCCCTCCAAGGGCGAAGCCATCCACCGCTGCAACCGTCGGCATGGGCAACAAGGCTGCGATACCGATGTAACATCCATAGAGAGACGACATGTGGAGAGATCAGACGATGTAGTTACAGACTATGAACGCACGCATGCACACACAGTACAATGCACAAACACACTAACTGTTTGTGCTAACTTTCTAATTGTGTCTAAACTCTTGAACTGTGTAGTGGAGGCCTATGAAGTGATTTCAGAGAGAGAGCGAGAGAAAATTGACGTTTTGGGGGCATTTTGGGGTGTTGAGTGAGATATACTAGCATGAGAACAGGCTGAAGGCTGAATAAGACTAGGGGTAGCCCCTAGTCTGCACACATACAAACACACACACATACTTTACACACACCCCTCACCGATTTCAGTCATGAGTGAGCGCAGGCCGTGAACAAACAGATCGGAGTCAGAGTGGTTCATCTCAGCTCTCTCCTTCAGATCAGCTCCTACAGAAGACACAGAGAAGACATCAAATAAATACACACACACACACACACACACACACACACACACACACACACACACACACACACACACACACACACACACACACACACACACACACACACACACACACACAAAAGGACAGACCTGCACAGAAGACCCCTTGTACCAGACTCCTGAAGACCACCACCCTCACAGCTGAGTCATGGTGTAGAGAGGACACCAGCTCCCTCATCTAGAGAGAGAGAGGGGTAGAGAGAGAGAGGGAGTGGGAGAGAAAAGTATTTCTAAAAACAGTTATCATACTCTGTTAGATTAATAGCATAGGTGGGACCAGGACACTATTATTCGAGTCACTCATAAGCAAAAAAAAGTCCCAGTATCAAGTCGAGTTCCAAGTAGAACGGGTCGAGTCTCGAGTCAAGTCCAAGTCTTGCATTCTAAGAGCAAGTCGAGTCGAGTCAAAGGTTTTTTTCCAAGTCAATACTCAAGTCAAGCAAAAATAAAATCTATACAGGCAATGACTTGTTCAACTACACATCTTTGTTTATTTATTGAGGCTAACAGACAGCCCTTTTCATTATTTTGTCTAAAACACATTTTGATTATGTAATAATACATTTTAACATCAAATTCCAAATGCAAGCTTCATAAGTAAATGATACATTTCAAGCAATTTTGACATACCAAAAGACCAGTAGGGCTATGATAGTAATTGTTGTTTGGTATTGCTGGTGAGCTTGGAATGTTAACAGTTTATATTCTTGATCAACAAACAGTTTGTGGAGCAAATCTCACAGGAGGTTGGTGGCACCTTATTTGGGGAGAACGGGGTCGTGGTATTGACTGGACCAGAATGAGTGGAATGGTATCAAATAAACTCAGCAAAAAAAGAAACATCCTCTCACTGTCAACTGCGTTTATTTTCAGCAAACTTAACATATATTTGTATGAACATAACAAGATTCAACAACTGAGACATAAACTGAACAAGATCCACAGACATGTGACTAACAGAAATTGAATAAATTGTCCCTGAACAAAGGGGGGGTCAAAATCAAAAGTAACAGTCAGTATCTGGTGTGGCCACCAGCTGTATTAAGTACTGCAGTGCATCTCCTCCTGGCAAATCTGTTGCAGTCCATGAGTTCTTGCTGTGAGATGTTACCCCACTCTTCCACCAAGGCACCTGCAAGATCCCAGACATTTCTGGGGGGAATGGTCCTAGCCCTCTCCCTCCGATCCAACAGGTCCCAGACGTGCTCAATGGGATTGAGATCCGGGCTCTTCGCTGGCCATGGCAAAACACTGACATTCCTGTCTTGCAGGAAATCACGCACAGAACGAGCAGTATGGCTGGTGGCATTTTCATGCTGGAGGGTCATGTCAGGATGAGCCTGCAGGAAGGGTACCACATGAGGGAGGAGGATGTCTTCCCTGTAACACACAGCGTTGAGATTGCCTGCAATGACAACAAGCTCAGTCCAATGATGCTGTGCCACACCGCCCCAGACCATGACGGACCCTCCACCTCCAAATCGATCCCGCTCCAGAGTACAGGCCTCAGTATAACGCTCATTCCTTCGACGATAAACGCGAATCCGACCATCACCCCTGGTGAGACAAAACCGTGACTCGTCAGTGAAGAGCACTTTTTGCCAGTCCTGTCAGGTCCAGCGATGGTGGGTTTGTGCCTATAGGCGACGTTGTTACCGGTGAGGTCTGGTGAGGACCTGCCTTACAACAGGCCTACAATCCCTCAGTCCAGCCTCTCTCAGCCTATTGCGGACAGTCTGAGCACTGATGGAGGGATTGTGCGTTCCTGGTGTAACTCGGGCAGTTGTTGTTGCCATCCTGTACCTGTCCCGCAGGTGTGATGTTCGGATGTACCGAGCCTGTTCAGGTGTTGTTACACGTGGTCTGCCACTGCGAGGACGATCAGCTGTCCGTCCTGTCACCCTGTAGCGCAGTGGCGCAGCAGTCTAAGGCACTGCATCTCAGTTTGAGGCGTCACTACAGACCCCCTGGTTCGATTCCAGGCTGCATCACAACCGGCCGTGATTGGGAGTCCCATAGGGCAGCGCACAATTGGCCCAGCGTCGTCCGGGTTTGGCCGGTGTAGGCCGTCATTGTAAATAAGAATTTGTTCTTAACTGACTTGCCTAGTTAAATAAAGGTAAAATAAAATAAATAAACAGTATGGACATTGCAATTTATTGCCCTGGCCACATCTGCAGTCCTCATGCCTCCTTGCAGCATGCCTAATGCACGTTCACGTAGATGAGCAGGGACCCTGGGCATCTTTCTTTTGGTGTTTTTCAGAGTCAGTAGAAAGGCCTCTTTAGTGTCCTAAGTTTTCATAACTGTGACCTCAATTGCCTACGGTCTGTAAGCTGTTAGTGTCTTAATGACCATTCCACAGGTGCATGTTCATTAATTGTTCATGGTTCATTGAACAAGCATGGGAAACAGTGTTTAAACCCTTTACAATGAAGATCTGTGAAGTTATTTTGATTTTTACGAGTTATCTTTGAAAGTCAAGGTCCTGAAAAAAGGACGTTTCTTTTTTTGCTGAGTTTACATCAAACACATGGTTTCCAGGTGTTTGATTACATTCCATTTGCACCGTCCCAGCCATTATTATGAGCTGTCCTCCCCTCAGCAGCCTCCCTGTGACACTGGCAATCCTCTCTCCCTACAATTTGACATTTGCGCTGCACCCAAACCTACAGCTGTACAGCAAATCAGCAACTTGTTCGCTAGCTCAGTGGTTTTCAAACTTTTTGACCCGCGACCCCCAAAAAGGAATGGTTCAAAGCTTGCGACCCCCGTGCAAGCACATGCAAGCGTGCACAGGGCGTACACGCACACACAATATAGCCTGTCAAAACGCAAGATATAGAAATAAACTGAGCCATTCACCTGCATTTTGAGCTGAAAGTCATTCATGTTAGCAGTCAATATCAACTAGGGATATCATGTCACATTGCCACTTCTCTGGAATCCAGAGCAAGCAGGATCATATGGCCTACCTGTATGCAGCGGAGGTTGCAGGATCGGATGGAAAGCATTATCTGTCTGTAACCTTTTTCCTCCTCACAAATATGGTAATTGATTAGCCAGAATATGTTACATCTTCATCCCATAAGTATTGAAGTTTGTGCGATGTTACAACTATCTTTAGACATATACATATACTATACTATATACTTCAGAAAGTATTCACACCCCTTTACTTGTTCTACATTTTGTTGTGTTACAGCCTGAATTTAAAATGGATTAAATACATTTAAAAAATGTCACCAGCCTACACACAATACCACATAACGTAAAAGTGCAATTATGTTTTTAGACATTTTTTAAAATGTATTAAAAATGAAAAGCTGAAATATCTCTAGTCAATAAGTTTCTTAACAAGTCACATACACGGAACAAAAATATAAACGCAACATGTAAAGTGTTGGTCCCATGTTTCATGAGCTGACATAAAAGATCACAGACATTTTCCATACACACAAAAAGCTTCATTTCTCTCACATTTTGTGCACAAATTTGTTTACATCCCTGTTAGTGACCATTTCTCCTTTGCCAAGATAATCCATCCACCTGACAGATGTAGCATATCAAGAAGCTGATTAAACATGTTGATTAATTACACAGGTGCACCTTGTGCTGGGGACAATAAAAGGCCACTCTAAAGTCTGCAGTTGTCACATAACACAATGCCAAAGCTGTCTCAAGTTTTGAGGAAGCGTGCAATTGGCATGCTGACTGCAGGAAAATCCACCATAGCTATTGCCAGAGAATTGAATGTTAATTTCTCTACCATAAGCCACCTCCAACGTCGCTTTAGAGAATTTGGCAGTGCATCCAACCGGCCTCACAACCGCACACCACGTGTATGGCGTTGTGTGGGCGAGCGGTTTGCTGATGTCAACGTTGTCAACAGAGTGCCCCATGGTGGCGGTGGGGTTATGGTATGGGCAGGCATAAGCTACAGACTTTTATCAATGCCAACTTGAATGCACAGAGATACTGTGACAAGATCCTGAGGCCCATTGTCGTGCCATTTATCCACCGCCATCAACTCATGTTTCAGCATGATAATGCACCGCCCCATGTCGCAAGGATCTGTACACAATTCCTGGAAGATGAAAATGTCCCAGTTCTTCCATGGCCTGCATACTAACCAGACATGTCACCCATTAAGCATGTTTGGGATGCTCTGGATCGAGGTGTACGACAGCGTGTTCCAGTTCCCGCCAATATCCAGCAACTTCACACAGCCATTGAAGAAGAGTGCTGAAACGGAAGAGCTAAGCACAGGAACAATCCTAGAGGAAAACCTGGTTCTATCTGCTTTCCAACAGACACAGGGAGATGAATTCACCTTTTTAACAGGACAATAACCTAAAACACAAAGCCAAATCTACACTAGTTGATACCAAGAAGTAAATGGACAAATGTTGCACAATCCAGGTGTGGAAAGCTCTTAGAGACTTACCCAAAAAGCATAACAGCTGTAGTCACTGCAAAAGTTGCTTCTACAAAGTATTGACTCAGGGGTGTGAATACTTATGTAAATGAGATATTTCTTTATTTCATTTTCAATACATTTGTCAACATTTCTAAAAACATGTTTTCACTGTCATTATGAGGAATTGTGTGTATATAGGTGAGAAAAACATTCAATTTAATCAATTTTGAATTTAGGCTGTAACACAACAAAATGAGGAATAAGTCAAGGGGTATGAATACTTTCTGAAGGCACAGTAGTCACTACCACCACTAAGGTATATACAGTGCCATTGGAAAGTATTCAGATCCCTTGACTTTTTCCACATTTTGTTACGTTACAGCCTTATTCTAACATGTATCAAATAAAACATTTTCCTCATCAATCTACACACAATACCCCATAATGACAAAGCGAAAACAGGTTTTTAGAAAATGTTGCTAATTTATTAAAAATAAAAAATGTATTTACATAAGTATTCAGACCCTTTGCTATGAGACTCGAAATTGAGCTCAGGTGCATCCTGTTTCCATTGATCATCCTTGAGATGTTTCTACAACTTGATTGGAGTCCACCTGTGGTAAATTCAATTGATTGGACATGATTTGGAAAGGCACACACCTGTCTATATAAGGTCCCACAGTTGACAGTGCTTGTCAGAGCAAAAACCAAGCCATGTTTTGTCTCGAGGCACAGATCTTGGGAAGGGTACCAAAAAATGTCTGCAGCATTGAAGGTCCCCAAGAACACAGTCTCCTCCATCATTCTTAAATGGAAGAAGTTTGGAACAACCAAGACGCTTCCTAGAGCTGGCCGCCCGGCCAAACTGACCAATCGGGGGAGAAGGGCCTTGGTCAGGGAGGTGACCAAGAACACGATGGTCACTCTGACAGAGTTCTAGAGTTCCTCTGTGGAGATGGGAGAACCTTCCAGAAGGACAACCATCTCTGCTGCACTCCACCAATCAGGCCATTATGGTAGAGTGGCCAGACGGAAGACACTCCTCAGTAAAAGGCACAGGACAGCCCGCTTGGAGTTTGCCAAAAGGCACCTAAAGACTCTCAGACCAGGAGAAACAAGATTCTCTGGTCTGATGAAACCAAAATTGAACTCTTTGGCCTGAATGCCAAGCGTCACGTCGGGAGGAAACCTGGCACCATCCCTACGGTGAAGCATGGTGGTGGAAGCATCATTCTGTGGTGATGTTTTTCAGCGGCAGGGACTGGGAGACTAGTCAGGATCATGGAAAAGATGAACAGAACAAAGTACAGAGAGATCCTTGATGAAAACCTGCTCCAGAGCGCTCAGGACCTCAGACTGGGGCGAAATGAGTGACAAAACGTAACAAAACCTGGCCAGATAATTTGAAGTCATCAGTCTCAAGTCAAAGTCGAGTCCCGAGTCTTGAGGCTCCAAGTCAAGTCAAGTCATTTTATTTTCTATCAAGTCAGACTCTAGTCCAAGTCATGTGACTTGAGTCCACACCTCTGATCAATAGTTATCAATTCGGTGTGTGTGTGTGTGTGTGTGTGTGTGTGTGTGTGTGTGTAAGAATCAATAAGAGATAAAAACCCACCTGAGAGACAAACACACGGCCCAGAGCGTTCCTTGCCTTCTGACGGCACATCAACACCTCAGCTATACCTACAGAGAGAGAGAGAGAGAGTCACGTGTACTTCCTCAAGAAGATAGACACGTGTATGTGTGTGTGTGTTATTGTTTGTGCATTTGAGATATGAGCAGATGCACAGGCCTAGGTGCAGATGTTGATGATGTTGTCACTTTAGATTTGAGCCATGAGGTGACAGGTGTGTGTGTGTCTGGGAAGAGGAGAGGATGAGGGAGGGAGGGAGGGAGGGAGGGAGGAGAGGATCGATGGAGGGAGTGGGAAGGAGAGGAGGTGATGGAGGGAGGAAAGGAGGGAAAGAGACAGGAGGTGATTGCCTGAGGCTGTGTCTGACCTGTGGCTAGGCTGAAGGCTTTTTTTATAAACAGCATCTCCCCTGCATGTGTGTGTGTGTAAATAGGTCAGTGTTTACCTCAGTGTTAATTATTGAACAGTAGACTGGACGGAAATGGTTGTCACTCTGTACAGAAGCTCCTGCCACACAACAATCCCTGTATCAAAGTGGCTACTACTTATTCTGCCTCTACCAAGAGGTCTGGAACTTTATGGCACAGCAGGTGGTGCGCTTACTTCCCCTGTAACTTCAGGTAGTTTTATTTAATTTCAGGATAAGCTTATTCACCTCAACTACCTATGGCTCTCTGGTGATTCTCAGCATTGTCAATCACAGCCTGGTCTTATACACTAGGCGTAACATAGTAACCGTAAATCCGGGACACTCAAATTAGTACGATTTGGTACGTTTGGTATGGTTACAAATGACAGATTTGTCGGGGTGGATGGGTGGGATTATAGCGCGAACATCTAGCAACCCAAAGGTTGCGAGTTCAAATCTCATCACGGACAACTTTAGCATTTTAGCAACTTTTCAACTAAATGACTTACTACATTTTAGCTACTTTGCAACTACTTAGCATGTTTGCTAACACTTCACTTAACCCTAACATTAACCCTATTAGCTAATCCTTCCCCTAACCCTCTAATCTAACTCCTAAATTTAACCTTAACCCCTAGCCTAGCTAACATTAGCCAGCTAGCTAACGTTAGCTACCGAGCTAGAATTTGTAACATATCATACATCTTGCAAATTCGTAACATATAGTACGTTTAGTGAATTCGTTACATATTGTACATTTTGCAATTCGTAACATATAATACAAATTGTGTGATGGACATCCACAAATGAATACATACCATACGAAATGTAACATATCATACTAAATGTAGTGTCCTGGATTTATGTACAGAATAATACGAAATGCTCTGAGACCAGGTTGTCAATCATGGTGAAATTGTGGAACTTAGACTCACAAAAATTGTAAACCTTACTACCGGTCAACTAGGTTTCCTGGTAGTGGAAATCATAAAGATTCAAAGAGCGTCTTTTCCTACCAGTGTCCTCCCCATCTAGTCGCTTTAGATCCACTTCTACGGGCTCTGGCGTCTCGGTGTGTAGCCAGCGGGTGTGTGTGTCATTGTATACGGTGAAAGGGCGTCCTCCGCCGGGCAGCGTTTCCACTCTCAGCCGGTGTAACGTTACCGAGCCTGGAGCTCCAAGAGACGCCGGGGATAGAGCACCCAAACCGCGGAAGAGAGAGCAGTGCCTAGTCGCAAACCTTCGAAGGAAAGTCATGGTTGTATTTCTCTTTTTTCTTATGTGTATGGAGCTATTTCGTTTCAAAGAAAACAAGGAAGTAGACTACAACCAATTGACTTGTTTTGTAGTTTCAGCTCCGGGTATAAATGCCCCGAGGGATCTAGGACCCGATCTAGGATCAGCTACATTCCATTTCCTTCGCTAATCCAAGGGGGACGCAAAACTGACCTTATATCAGTATGTCTAAAGCCAACTTTTTTTTATTCCACTTTCACTGTGCTTGAAGTTTTTGGGATAGGAACGGATATCCCGCCTTCATTTGAGCAACCTTAACCGTCCTTGAACCTGTTTGAGCGCCCTCTTTTTTGAATGTAATGTTTCTCTTTTTTCATAGTGGGATCATCGCCTTGGTTACAAACTGACACACACAACACTGACTAAGCATAAAGCCTTAGTTGCCCATGGCTTGAACCAATAGATTTAATAGTTGATTAATAATAACACAGAACGGAAGTGTTTTTTTAATCGGTATATTATAACATTGCGATATTAAATAGGCCTACATTATTCTCAAAAGTATTTATGGTCATTGATTGGCAACGTAAATGTTAAGCAATATCTAAAGTAGTCGCCAGGGGATGTTCTCCTCACACACACTCGCCAGAGGCACTGATGCAACCTTTACCTCCTGGCATCTGTTTTATTACAATTAATCATGATTCATGAGCCAACGGTTTTATACTGTAACGACCCGGTATTGTGTTCTGTGTTCGTGGGTGTGTTATCGTTCTCATGGGTGCTAGCAGGGGTTAAATATGCCAGGACAGATGGAAAGGGTGGGGGGGTATGATGGGTAATCCCGCTGGGTTTTGGAATGCTTAAATAGGGGTTAAGGTCTCATCTCTCTCTCTTCTGTTTTGGGACCCTTGACTTGACATGTTATATTTGTGTATGTTCGAGGTTTAGCGGCGTGGGCTGTGGCCTGAACAATAGCCCATTCAGGAATAAACCTGTGTTCTGCCTGTACACCTGGTGCCCGTCTCTCTTTTACTTTATGACCCAGCTGGGTCATTACAATACATTATACTTTACATTCATTGAGAATTTCAATCAGGTACATGATTTAACACAAAATATATAATGGACCTTTACATTGAGCAGGTCTCAAATGCAGGGCTGGATTACCGAACGGGCACGCACAATTTTCTCTCAGCCCTATGGCAAAATGTGAACAAAAGCATGAGATGAGCTATAAAACAGCAACAAAATCCTCTGCCCCATGGCAAAAAGTGTAGAATTGCAGGAAATTTGCTTTAAAACTGCAACATTTTCCCTTAGCCTCATGATAAAATGTGTAGAATAGCATTATAAAACTGCAAATTTTCTCTCTGCTCCATGGCGAAATGTGTTGACATGTAAGTTAGCTGACATAGGTCAATGCTCCGGGGGCCCAAATACATTAGTCTGGCCCTGCTCAAATGGTACATTCACGGATAGAAATATGGAACATTCATAGAGGCACATTGAATAAGATGCATTGTCAGTTTGGCACAGAACAGGTGTATAACAGACCAAGGCCCTGTTCAGTATGGCACAACGTAGTCGGTTGGAATGGATCTAATGCTTATAGAGGTGTCCATAACATTTACATTTTACATTTTAGTCATTTAGCAGACGCTCTTATCCAGAGTGACTTACAGTTAGTGAGTACATACATTTTTCATACTGGCCCCCCGTGGGAAACGAACCCACAACCCTGGCGTTGCAAGCGCCATGCTCTACCAACTGAGCTACAGGTTACTACTGCATGTAACGACTTCTGAGGCCTGTTTGACCCATAATGACAGTTACATTTGATGGCTGCCTACCTTTTGGCAGGAGCATAGAAAAAACTAACAATACCGTTCAGGGAGGTCAGGAAACATGTCTTAAAAAAACTCATTTAGCCCTTTTGTGATGATCCTCCATAAAAAATGTTTCCTCTTTCAGCTCTTCATTGTTCCTTTCCCTCTGCAAGAAATAATGTTTATGGGCAGATACATGGTTCCAGCAAATTATGGCTAATGAAGTTTGGTAGCCTAGAAACCATACTGATATGCTCCATTTCACCAGCATATCAGTTTGAATTCCAGGCTTTAAAAAAGTCAAAGAATGAAAGTGTTTTTAGTGTTGTTGCCTACCTGTCACATTCAATCCTGTGAGGGCTCAGCTATTTCAGAGTCTGGGGTGCTGCTGCTGCTCCGATCACTGTACGTGTCCCGTGGAGACAGATGCATAGTCACTTTAACCCTACCTACACGTACAAAATTACCTTGACTAACCTGTACCCCCGCACATTGACTCTGTACCGGTACCCCCTGTATATAGCCTCGTTATTGTTATTTTATTGTGTTAAGTTTTATTTTATTTTTTACTTTAGTTTATTTAGTAAATATTTCCTTAACTCTATCTCTTGAACTGCATTGTTTGTTAAGGGGCTTGTAAGTACGCATTTCACATAAGTAACCTTGCCTGAGCAAATATTAAGGCTTTTGCTTAGTGGGCCAACACAGTGTTTACCAAACTTGAGATGGGGTCCCCTGAAATTGAAATGGCTGGAGAAAACACTTATCAAACAAATGGGTACAGATTGTCAACTAAGGGCCTTTTACACTATTAAATGTGCTTTCATGTCATTATCATGTTCAGACAGCCTGCAGGACCTAACATTTAGTGAATATGAACAAATAGTGTTATATAGGGAATAGGCCTATAATTTTCCCAAGTGGGGTCCCATGCATTTTCTAGTGCAAATATGGGGTTGTGTGCAGAACATTTTTGGGATCCCCTCGACACATTCTTGAGGTCTTAGGTTAAAGCAAACCCGTCAGTAGGTCACACTCACAGGAATGTTTTTAAGTCTAACAGAATTGCTTTCAGAATCTGTGGTTGGAACCCGTGTTGCCCCTGGCGAATATGTCAGTGATTGACAGCTCTCTCTTGCAGGGGGATAGACCTCGGTGATGGATGTAGCGAGCTTTACGAGCCTCGGCCAGTGATTTCTTTTAAATCAGGAAGGAGGTGGATCGTCCTGGGCCGACCATCAGGAGCGAGGGAGTCAGAGGGGGCAGGAGGAGGGGGAGGGAAGGAGGGGAGGATAATCATTATTTCTCTCTGTCTGTCCTCCCATTCGCTTCCTCCCTCTCTTTCTTTCGCACTGCCCTCCCTTCTCTCCCCCTCACATCTTCACTCTCCCGTTCGGCTCTCCTCTCCTCTCCTCTCCTCTCCTCTCCTCTCCTCTCCTCTCCTCTCCTCTCCTCTCCTCTCCTCTCCTCTCCTCTCCTCTCCTCCTCTCCTCTCCTCTCCTCTCCTCTCCTCTCCTCTCCTCTCCTCTCCTCTCCCTCCCTCCCTCCCTCCCCCAGCCCAGTGCTGGTCAGTGCAGCTGCAGGCTGCAGTTTGAGGTCTGGCAGGCAGAGACAGAGAAAGAGAGTGGGAGAGAGAGAGAGATTGAGAGCGAGAAAGAGAGAGAGAGAGTCAGTCGGACAACACATGCACGCATGCAGACACAATCACACACACATGAACGCTCGCACACACATGAACACACACACACAAACGGTGGTGTGGCCAGCTCTGTGGATTCAGTAAAATGCTGCATTGAACAGAGAAAGAGATAGAGGGAGAAGAAAGGAAGCCAGGAAGATGACTATAAATCCAATAGAAGTTGGCAGAGGGATGCACCGTAAAATAAAAATTAGTTTAGAATCAGTCTGTTAAAAGAGCCAGCATGGATCCCTGCCTAGTCACAACACAGAGAAAACAGAGACACACACACACACATCAGAGGAGCGGGAGGGGGGGGGGGGGGGGGGGTGGGGTGGTATGGAGCTGTGATTCTCTCTGATTCTCACACACTCATTTCTATCTCTCTTTCTCTCTCTGACAAAGTCTCATATTTTCTCACAGAGACTATCTCTCTCCAGAGGATAACAGTGGTACCCACACCGGCAGAGAACTCTGTGTGTGTGTGTCTCAGTGAGGTATTAAGCATCTCGTTATCTGCCCACTGGATTAGCATAATTAACCAGTCCGCTCACTTAGAATCCTCTTCCTCCAGACAGCTCGCTGCAGGGGCCATTCGAGAATAATTAACCAGTCCACTCGCTTAGAATCCTCTTCCTCCAATCAGCTCGCTGCAGGGGCCAGTCGAGAAAATGGGGGGAGGGGGGGCAAAGGACTGAACTGTGTGTCTGTATGTGTGTGTGTGTGTGTGTGTGGGTGGAGCTTGGTACGATTATCTCATTATCAGAGTCAGTAAGATTAGGGTCTAAGGGCCCGGGGCTGGGTTTCTACTTAGCTAACATATAGAATTGTTTTAAGATGGTCATACCAAGGATCATTTAGCTATTTTATGGTATAACAAAAAAATATATACAAAAATGATTTGATGAAACATTGAATTTGGTCAAACAATAAATCAAAGGGAAGTATGTTTTATAGTGTCTGTCCTATATCTGAGAGATATAAGAAATCTCAGAAAAAATATATATAAACTCAGCAAAAAAAGAAACGTCCTCTCACTGTCAACTGCGTTTATTTTAAGCAAACTTAACATGTGCAAATATTGTATGAACATAACAAGATTCAACAACTGAGACATAAACTGAACAAGTTCCACAGACATGTGACTAACAGAAATTGAATAATGTGTCCCTGAACAAAGGGGGGGTCCAAATCAAAAGTAACAGTCAGTATCTGGTGTGGCCACCAGCTGCATTAAGTACTGCAGTGCATCTCATCCTCATGGACTGCACCAGATTTGCCAGTTCTTGCTGTGAGATGTTACCCCACTCTTACACCAAGGCACCTGCAAGTTCCCGGACATTTCTGGGGGGAATGGCCCTAGCCCTCCCCCTCCGATCCAAAAGATCCCAGACGTGCTCAATGGGATTGAGATCCGGGCTCTTCACTGGCCATGGCAGAACATTGACATTCCTGTCTTGCAGGAAATCACGCACAGAACGAGCAGTATGGCTGGTGGTATTGTCGTGCTGGAG